GTAAGATTCGAAGGCTTTAAATACCGCCTTGTCCATAGGTTGCAGTTCATGTGTGCAATAACTTGGCAGGCAAAAAAGCGTAATTTCATGCGACTCGGCTTCATCAACAATACCTGCATGCAGATGGGACGATGCTCCGTCAAAAATAAGCAGTATTCTTCCTATTGGCTTGTACTTAGCAAAATGTTGTACCCACTTAATGAAAACTGGCGTAGTCATACTTCCTTTCTCGGTCATTTCAATAACTGTTCCAGCAGGAAGATTGTCATACCATTCATTCTTCTTTCTTTTTCCTTTGAACAAGATCATAGGTGGAATTATTTGTCCTACAGCATTTCCACAACCGACGATTGACACATTCTCAGCGTGCTTTTGCGAAATCAAATGAACTCGTTTGACACCTTTACGAGCATATACCTGTTGTGATTTATGAAGGTTTAGGCGGCAACCTTTCTCGTCAATATTAAAAATGCGTTGAGGGCTTTGCAGGATATCAAGCTTCAACATAACTTCGCGTAGATTTTCAAAATAGTCATTGACTATGAATCTGTTTAATTTGGCGGCTCTAGCTGGATTCATGAATTGAGATTTTCTTTTAACTACTTCGGGATGTCGATTTAAAAAAAGTTTGAGCCATTTTCGACCAGCTAAGTTTTTATCGATAAAAGGTGCAGACATGCCATTTCTTTGACAATATTCATGGACAGAACGTCTTATCACTGTTGATGTCAGAGGCATTCCAACGTCAGCTAGCCTAAAAATTCTTCCACACAACTCAGATTCTTGTTGGGTGGTTAAACATGAAGGGCGCCCAAGTTTCTTTTCCGCTTTTCCACTAAGCAAATGATTCCTAAGTGTTCAACGGGCAATATTAAATTCTTTGGCGGCTGTTCTTACTGACATCCCATTTTTAACTGCTTGCAAGGCCAAAGCCATTTGTTCTTCAGTCCATAAAGCTCTAGGCATCTTAAGCTTTTTAGTATTCTTTCTGAAACAAAGTTAAAAACTTATAAAACGTGTTATTGTAGTGGTCTTAACAAGGCCCACCCGTAGTCTTAATAAGGCCCACCCGGGCCTTATTAGCAATACTGTAGGTGATCAATGTTTTTAGAAATTACCATTATTTACGTTTTAATAAACATAAGGTAATTCAGGTACTATGAAAGTACAACTAATAAGTACACAAATGTCATGCAAAATAAAAAAAATCGCACTCATAATCGCATTAAATTACAAAAGCATACTAACCTCAATATTAGATTGGATGTTTACCCATTGACAAATGTAAACGAATGATCATATAAAAGCGACAGTTCGCGTCGCTGCTCAACTTAGTGTAACAATTTGCACCTAGATGGCTCTACTGCATCTGTACATTGCAGCATACTGCCATTATTTGTCCATCCTGAGGAATATGGGCAAGTGGGCTTTATTAGGAACCGGGCTTTATTAGGAACCGGGCTTTATTTGGCGAACCTACCTTATATATATATATATATATATATATATATAATATATATATATATATATATATATATAATATATATATATATATATTTGTAGTCTCAGCAATTGGTCTGTGTGAAATAAAACTCTATTTGTTATTTCTCAATATTTCTTTCTTTACGTTCTTTTTTGTATTCTTCTCAATATTCTACTTTTGCACCTTATTATATGGATAATACTGTCACAATATGTAATTGTTTATTAAAACTTATTCGCTAAAAATTGTACAATGGGAATTCACTCTATAAAATATTGCGGTTACCATAACTCCCAAATAAATTAAATCAAAAAAAAAATGTCATTTATCTAATTGGATATGTTATTAAAATTTAAAATTTTTAATCTTAAGTTGTAAGTATTGAAATATTCATTTTGTTTACATATAATAATTAAAATAAATTTACAGTTTTCTCCTGAAGGAGTCACAAAATCGTGACGAAATATTGAGAAATAACAAATAGAGTTTTTATTTCACACAGACCAATTGCTGAGACTACAAATAATATTTAACACAGTACGGTCGAGAATAATTTGATATATATATATATATATATATATATATATATATATATATATATAATATATATATATAAGAGTAAGAAAAAAGAATATAAATATATATATATATATATATATATATATATATATATATATATATATATATATATACGTTATGTTGCAATAAGATCGTCAATTACTTGATCGATATATATTTAAAAATTGCAGTGACGCAATTTGTAAGTAAATACAAAACGGTTCATGAATATATGATATAAACACCTACTTTTTTTATCTATTTATCTCCTAAAAAACCAAGATTGTTAAACAATATTAATCGTTTAGAACACATAGGTTTCGACCTTCACTCATATCAGACAACAAAATTATTTAACAAAATTGTAAAAGAAAGGTCACCCACGTTATCTCCAGGATTACTGCTACAATTGTTTTTATTATTTTGAAAATATTCTCAACAGTATGCACACACGTCCTAAAATCTGCTTAAACATAGAAATTATTTGAATAACATAACAAGGGAATAAAATGATAATAAAATTTTAAACATTAGCATAGATAAAACTCAACTGACGACTCCATATCCTAAATGCCGTTTAATCAATTATGGTGCGGTACATACACACACTCATTTTAAATTTATCGCAATTGCTAATTGCCAAATAAAAACAATAATAAATTGCGCTATCTGAGGACTAATTATTCAGATAAATCGTGAAAAGTGCGGTAAATTTGTGCTGTAAACATGGAAGAAATGCCAAGGAAAGTGTCTATTCCTTTGAATGTGGTTGTTAGGGAAAACAAGACGTTTGTCCACATTAGAAGACTTAGTCTTCCGGTGCAAAAAGTGCTAAGAAGGACGAAGAGCCTGAAGATCAAAGATCTTTATAGGTAAGAATTAACGTATATTTAAAACATCACCATGTACCGGTAAAATTAGAAATATTAAAACAATACTAACCGTTCTGGGAGAAAGTACAAACTTATCATCATCATCTTGGTGCTACAGACCTTAGAGGGCCTCGACCTTCTCAAGCTTTCTACGCCATTCTGTTCTGTCCCTTGCTTGCATTTTCCAGTTGCCGACTCCGATCTTCTCCGCATCTTGTGTTACCCCTCAGCTTTGGTCTACCCTGTCTTCTCATTCCCACGGGTTGCGCTGTTAGAATCTTTTTTATCATGTTCGATTAAAGGGCCTGGGCTTTATGTCCTGTCCACTGCAGGCGGTTTCGCTTAATTATGGTGGTAATATCTTTACCACCAAACGTATGCTTGTAGATATTCTGCAGTTTAAAGTTATATCTACGCCTCCATATTCCGTTCTCACAGACCGCTCCGAATATCTTGCGTAGCACCTTTCTTTCAAAAATCGATAGAGCGGATTCATCTGTTTTAGTTAGCGTCCATGCCTCTGATCCATATGCGAGAACGGGGACTACCAGTGTTCTATACAGCCTTATACGAGTCTTTTAAAACAGACGTTTGTTAGCTAAGTACTTTGATATACCATGATAACACCTGTTTCGAAGTTTTGGTCATTGATGATTAAATTTGCGTCAACATTTCCAGCTCTTGTGTTTGTGTTAGTCACCATGCATTTGGTTTTATTTTGATTTATATGTAACCCCATTCCTTCTGCTGCTGCTACTAGCTCAGTTAGGATTTCCACAGTTCTCGTCCTAGTTCTTGTTATAATATCCCGTCGTCTGCATATGCTAGAATTTGGACTGATCTATTAAATATTGTTCCCCTGCTAGCTAAATTAGCGTCTCATACAACTTTTTCTAAGGCGACATTAAACATCTGACACGCCAGCGCATCTCCTTGCCTTAACTATGTATTTCAAATGGGGTTGACGAGTCGTTTTGAATTTTTACTGCTGATAGCATCTTCGCCATTGTCACTTTTATCAAACATATGAGTTTTTTTGGAATTCCTAACTCATTCATAGCGTTGTAAAGACTTGGTCTTAAGACACTGTCATATGCCGCTTTAAAATCGACATAAATATGATACTTATCTATGTTAAACTCTTGCGCTTTTTCGGGGATCTGTCGTAGTGTAAAAATCTGGTTAATGGTTGAACGTCCAGGCCTGAATCCTGCCTGATATTCCCCTAGAAACATTTCAGTATAAGGCTTTAATCTCTCGTGCAAAATGTTTGACAATATCTTGTATGCTGTATTCCCTTTTTTTCCCCTTTTTGTGTAACGGGCAAATTAAGCCTAAGCTCCATTCTTCAGGCATTTGCTTCTCAGACCAGATTTTACAAACAATTTCTCGCATCACCTTGGTGAGCTGCTCTCCACCGTTCTTAAATAACTCTGCTGGGATGCCATCACTACCTGAGGATTTGTGACTCCTTAGTTTTTCTATAGATATTTTCACTTCATCTACCAAGGGGGGTTACACGAGTTCTTCATTTCGGTATTCCAGCTCTATATTGTTAGTAGGTTCCCCTTCCAGCAACTCTCGAAAGTGCTCTACGCATCGTAAAAGGATATCCTCTTTGTTGGTAAGTAAGTTACCTTCCTTATCATTACAGTAGTTGATTCTTGGTTTGAATTCTTTTCTAATAATATTTATTTGATGATAGAAACTTAATGTAAACAAAAATTCAGGCGGTAAAGGGTTAACTTTAATTTTTTTAATTTAACAACTCAAAAAAGAAATATTCAAGAAGGTTGGACAATTTTTATTTTCACTAGAATTTTGTACGTTTCCATCAATATTTAATAACTTTTTAAATTTTGTTTAAAAATAAAATAAACAAATCCTAAAAATCTTTTTTAAAACATTTTAATAACTTGTTATTATTTTTGTTAATACTTTTAATTACTGGTAGATAATTAAACGATATTAAATTATTGCAATATAGTTTCCATCTCAAAAATAAAACTAATTACTAAAACAACCCCACTACAACATATGATATCATCGATATGTTTTAAATATTTCTTATCAGAGTGACTGGTTAGCTTTTTTGATATCCACAGTTTCATTTTAAGTCCCTTTAAGGTTAATTTCCGTAGTATTTTCTTTGTTAATTCTTAACTAATCATCGGCTTATTCCTCTTATCTTTAAGATAAAAAGATACCAACTACAGGATTTTTAACTTCTACAGGTGTTACTTTTGATTACTTTTTGATATAACAGTTGAAAAGTGCTAAATAAAACCGGAAACAAGTGTTTGGTGCTCATTTTTGTAAAACTAGGTTTAAAATGGATAGATCATTGGATCGGTTGTCTCTTTCTCTCACTCCGGTTGTTCATAAACATAAAAAGACGTTTTCTCAAATAAAAAAACTAAGCATTCCATTTCAAGAAGTTTTCAGAAAAACTAAGAAGTTCAAGTTTAGAAAAAAGCGAAGGTAAGATTATTATCAACTAACGCATGTCCCTAAAGTTTTCGGAAAAAATAAATATGTATTTTCTAATTGTAAATTAAGTTTATGTTAATAACTAAATAAAGGAAATTAAGTCTACATATTCAAGGTTTATTCTGGCTTTTTCTGGATTTGCCGTCATTCTGTTTTCTTCCTTGCTCTGCTAATTTTTTAGAAATAATAATAATTGGAGATTTCAACATTGATTTTAAAAAAGCTTCTAATGAATTAAACAGTTTCCGTGATCTAATTTCTACTTTTGGATTAACCATAAATATTAATGAATTTACTAGAATCACAACTAGATCAGCAACTTGTTTAGATAACATCTTAACAAACATAAGCAGTGAGATAGTTGGTTGTGGAATTGTGGACCCGTGTATTTCTGATCATCATGCACAATTTCTCTACTTAAAAATAAAATCTGAAAAAAAACATAGTGCTAATCCATACAGAAGACATATAACAAGTAATGGCATCCGGATGTTAAAACAGTCGTTAAACAACGTTGACTGGACTTCAGTTGTTTCTCTCAAAACAGCAACAGAATTAGCTCAATTTATTACCGAAATATATGTTAAGTTAACTGAAATTAATTTTCCATTAAAAAAATCACGAACTCATAGTAAAGCTCCAATTTCTTGGTTTGATGATGAACTAATAGAAATGCGAAAAAATCTTTCCACAGTCAAGATAATTGCTGATGTTACAAAGGAGTATAGTGAGTATAAAAAATTTAAGAAGCACTATAAATGAACAATATCATTAAAGAAAAAACTGGCTTATGAAAATTTTTTTTCCAGTTCTGAAAATATATCTCGTGATAGTTGGAAAGTTATAAATTATCACAGAAATAAATTTCAAAATAAAAAAGTCTGTCCAAGCGCGATTACATCAAACGATTTCAATAATTACTTTACTTCAGTGGCTAAACATATTACACTAGCTAATACAGAAAATTGTGAGAGATATAGTTGATGGCTTGGAGGAAGGTCATTTTGTGTCTTTGACATTGTGTGACTTATCCAAAGCTTTTAACTGTGTTTCGCATGAATTACTGTTGGAAAAAATGCATAAGTACGGTATTAGGGGAAACACTCTTAATCTATTTAGATCATACCTAACAAATAGAAAACAGGCAGTTTTTCTTAATAACAGCTATTCTGAGTTTAACACTGTCGAATATGGTGTACCTCAAGGTTCGATATTAGGACCCACTTTGTTTTCTTATTATCTGAACGATTTATTTCACTACACTTTTCCTATAAAATGTGTTTGCTTCGCAGATGATACAACTCTCATAAATACTGATATTAATCAGAATAATTTAAAAATTAAAATAGATAGTGATACCAAGAAAGCAAAAAACTGGTTCTCACATATTGGGCTAAAGCTAAACGAAGAGAAAAATCAGAATTTGATTTTTAGTTCTGATTGGAAGTATATCTTAAGAAATAGTGTTAAACTATTAGGAATCTTTATAGACGATAATTTGGATTGGAGTGCTCATATAGATTACTTAAGTTCTAGACTTGCTACAAGTATATTTTTAATACGCAACTTAGTTTAAATGATTCCTAAAAATACCCTTAGAATGTGCTACTTTGCACTATTTCATAGCCATTTACAGTACGGAATAACTGTTTGGGGTAATTCTTCTTACGCAGATCGAATTTTTAAATTACAAAAAAGAGTAGTGAGGATACTTGCAAGAGCAGAGTATAGGGAACACTGTAAACCTTTATTTCTGGATTTAGGTATTATGCCACTACCTTCACTCTATATATATGAGACACTGATTGAAATTCATGCCAACAAAGGTAAGTTTAACGTAAACTCCAACGTCCATGATCACGATACAAGATCTAGAGATGCTATTAGAGCACAACGTTTTAGGTTGACAAAGAGCGTAAAAAATTCGACTGACGTTAGTTTGTATACCTTTTGCCAGATGAAGTAAAAAGTCTTCACTTGTTATCATTTAAGCATAAAATCAAATCACACTTTTTGAAACATTGTTTCTATTCAAAAACGGAGTACTTAAGTACAGCTTTTACACAATAGTACTAGTTTGGTCAGGGCAGTTGCCTATTATAATTATATTTCATGTTTTTTTATAATTCCACAAAGTGTGTTTGTCGTTTTTTTTAACTGTTATTATTAAATACATACATGTTTGTAATGTTTAAATTATCCAAAAAATTTTTATATGTTTTATAAGTATTGTCACTATTCCTTTGACTTGTCAAAAACAAAACTATTTTGTATATTGATTAAATAAATTCTATTCTGTTCTATTCTATTCTTGCTTTGTTTTTCTAGTTGGTAATCTTAAGTGTTTTCAGATCTTATTACACTTGTTCCATTTATCTAAATTTGGGTCTTCCCTTTGATCTTCTCACTACTAGTATTTTTCTCATTGTATGTTTTCGTGTTACATTAAGATGAAGATATATTTTTGTATTGATGTAAAATTAGAAATTGCTTCCAGCTAAGTAGGTTCATTGCATGATAAATTCTGCGGAAATATGGGAGATTGAAATTTGAAGAGTCATTATCCATGGATATGTCTAAAATGTTATTAAGTGGAATTCTTTTATTTACGGTTATGCTAGAAGTGTAATTAAGGGTTAATAGCTGCCTACGAAGCTCTATATCATTGTTTAATCACAATGGACCAATAAAGCAGTTATTATTATACTAAAAAACGAAAAGGTCATGTTATAAGGCAACCTTATTGCATACTGTTACTTTCAATCAATTAATGAAACAATCAGGTTACTGAACATTAATGTCTTAAGTGGGTTTAATCAATTTGCTAGACATTTAATAAATCAGTCCATTTAACTGAATGATATCGTCGCTAATATTATTAGGTTTTTGTCGGACATTCGCAATAAAATTTCATCAAGAATACATTGCAGGAAATCATTTGTAAATTAACCAAATTGATATATATTTTTAAATACTAACAATATTATGTCTTAATAAAAAATGTTTAAAATTCTAAAAAGGCAAACTTTTAAAAACGCCAATGTTGGTCTTAATTACATAAAACGTGTTTTTTCAATGACATTTTTTATTTATTTTATCCAATATTTGGCGGCTGCTAACCTCAAACGGTTGTGTCGTACCAACTACGAACGACACAATATGATAAAAAAGAAGCAAATAAAGATATGGGCACATCCAAACAACGAACAAAATTTTGAAGATCATATCGGTAAATTCCTTCAAGAAAAATCATCAACAAATGATATTAACATCCTAAATGACATAATAGTAGAAGCAATAACAGAAGCTCAAAAGAAATGCTGCCCAAAAAGCGTGAAGGAAGAAAAAATTATTCTGCAAACAGAAAAAAATGGAACAAAGAAGAATACTGAGAAGCGACAAAAACTCAAATAACGACGATATAAATAGAATGAACAAGGAAGTATCAAGAGAAATCAGAAAAGACCTAAGAAAATATAAAGATGAGAAAATCATCAAAACCATTGAGTATGAAAATAATGAGATGCAAACTTACAAATGCAAATAAACAAATAGTCAAACTCAAGGATAGAAATGGCAACATCACATCAAACAGAGAACATTTGTTACAAATTGTGGAATCATTCTATGAGACATTGTATAGCAAAAAATCGACTCTAGATATAGTTGAATATCAACAGAGGAAGGTTCAAAATCAGGGTTCCGAAGATATCCCAGCAATCTCCCAGGATGAAATTTATAAGGCTCTAAAAAAGATGAAGAATAACAAAGCTCCGGGGAAGGACGGTGTCGTCACGGAAGCGATAAAGATAGGAGGCTCAGTACTGATAGCCAAAATTCAAAAGCTCTTTAATCTATGCCTATGGAATCAAAATATCCCAACAAAGTGGAATAATTCAATAACTGTACTCTTACACAAGAAGGGAGATATAGCAGACCTGGAAAGATACAGACCAATCAGTCTCCTTAACCGTTTTTATAAATTATACACCCGAATAATAACGAACAGATTAGAGACAAAGCTGGATTTTTACCAACCTCGGGAACAAGCCGGGTTCCGCCCTAATTACGGCACAAACAATCACCTGCAGTGCCTAAAAACCCTGATAGAAAAAACTAACGAATATAACCGTCCCTTGACATTAATATTTGTAGACTTTAAAAAGGCGTTTGATACAGTGGAACTAACGTCCATCTTAAGAGCACTACAAGATTGCAGGGTCGACCACAGAGATTGTAATATAGTTAAAAATATATATGAAAATGCTGCAACAACCATAAGTCTACATTCTGCAACTAATAAAATAAAGATAAAAAGAGGAGTCAGGCAAGGTGATACCATGTCACCAAAGCTGTTCGTTACCGTTCTTGAGTATGCATTTAAAAGACTAACATGGCAACAGAAAGGAATATCCATCGATGGAGAAAGATTAAACCATCTACGTTTTGCAGACGATATCGTGCTTCTGTCAGATAATCTGGGAGAGATCAAAGACATGCTCCAAGAACTGAATGATGTACTACAAGAAACTACGGAGCAGAGGCCCTAACTTTAACGAAAGCTACTGCCAAAAAACTGAGGGTAACACAAAAGCGAATGGAGGGATCAATGCTGGGCCTGACTTTGAAAGATCGCGTGAGAAATGAGGAGCTACGCCGACGAACTGGCGTAGACGATATTATACTGCGAATCAATAAACAAAAGTTGAGGTGGGCTGGACATGTTGCTAGAATGGAAGACGGAAGATGGACGAAGAGATTATTGGAGTGGAGACCAAGAGCCGACAAGCGAAATCGAGGCAGACCACCCACCCGATGGACCGACGACCTAAGGAGAATAGAAACAAACTGGATTGCAGCAGCTAGAGATACCTGGAGACGTTTGGAGGAGGCCTATATCCAACAATAGGTGTGAAAATGGGGCTAGATGATGATGATGATGAACCTCACAAAACTGCTTAGCGTTAATTTTCTGTGTCGCACAGGGGGGG